TCTTAACGCTTAATTAAGTATTTAAATAAGAAAAAGAAAGCTTATAATAGCCTTAATAATAGGCTTAATTAAGAGGTATATTAAAATAAGTTACTTATTATAAGTATAAATTATATACGTATAATTAAATAAGAGTAAACCCTTAATTATAAGTAAATAACCCTAATAATAAGCGTACTTATAAAAAGAGAGTATATAATTCTCTCTTTTATAGCTAAACATAGACTTGTATATATATATTATCGTTATAATTAGTGCCCTTTAAAGTGTGATAGAAGAGCAGGGAATATTATCTCCTCCCTTCCAATGTCAAATACTTGAGCCAAGACGTGACGACGGCAACCCCGGCTAAAATTAGCAGTGGTAACTTGCCGTTTAGCGCTGCCACGGTACGGAGTATCACGGCTGACATCCCCGGCAGCCCGTCGATCGCACGGTCCTCCAGACTTTGGGGGCCTGGTAGCAAATCTCTGGGGCATCTCTGCCACTAGGGTCTTTTGATGTCTTGTGATTTCTCGTTTAGTAGGCGAGTAGTTACGTGGTTGACTGGCAGACCGTCGTACACTAGACTTGACTGCTAATCTCCTATGGGATGAACTAGAGCCGGCCATGTCCTTGACTAGTTACATTGTGCCCTCTTGGAGGCAAGAACTATATCCCTTTAATACAAGTGCCCTTATAGGCCAGTGCTCTCATGCGATCGTGTTAAGCCTAGTAACTACCTTCCACTCGCATCCGGATATATCAATGATGTCTCGGTCGGAGCGTGGTAACAAGGGCCATTCCGTTCCGAAACTGGGGACAGCGCCACCTTAATACTTGTGGGAAACCATCCTCTTCACCACTTGGATTGTGCTTGGCCTATTCCGGCGTGTGAGTTGCAACATGCACGGAATACTCCGTATTGTACGACTCGATTAAAGTATCCATGCAACCATGGCAGGCCAAGAGATAAATCATGTGGCAAATGCCACCCCTGCGTCTGTCTCGCGTCGAGTAGCACTGCTAAAGCAAGTCAAGTGTTGGGATCGTCGTTGCCCCGGCCCGGCTTAGCCGCGACTCATCCCTGGTTCCCGGGTCAGAGAGGCGGATGGACCCCCCTGTCTCTGTTCTCCATGGGGATGAAAAGCCAGGAACATTGTCAACCGAAAGACCGGCTAGGGGCCTCCAAGGCGGGCGAGATGGTGTGCATCTCCGGTCGTGCCGTCACCTTGAAACGGCCCCAATTTCGAACGGCCCCAGGTTAGGCAACCCAGCATATGTATAATAGGACTTGATGTCGACATGACTGGGTGGGACAAGTCGTACTTGCTTTTTCATGTCATACACTCACGCGGATAACTAAACACCCTTCCGCGTATGCATCATTTTTGGGGACTATGACAGTAACATCAAGATCAAACCGGCTTGAAATGGCTCCGCCTTGGGTCTGACATTGGACATCTGTTATACTACCTCAGTTCCTCCTTCAAGTTGATGAGTAACCGTCGTCTACAAAAATTGCCTGGCCGGTTACCGACGAGTCCAGCCTTGGACGGTCCGTGGCTGCCAAGTTGACAGCAAGCACATGGTCCCATTGGCTTTGTGTCAGCTCGTCCAGGGGCGGCCGCGGGTTGATCCCGGCGGCATTGAGCACCCAACTTCGGATGGCCTCGCTTTCTCCAACATCCATCGCAAGGGCCGTGACTTGAATTCCTAGACTGGAGAGGTGCTCAGCAGTGGCCTGCAGCGGCTCGGGTCGACGAGCGATGAGAATAACAAGCGCTCCAGCCTTGCCGAGGGCCGTGGCCATCTCGCGTCCAATGCCAGAACTGCCTCCGGTGACGACGGCCACGCGTCTGCAAGGCCAAACAGGGAATGGAGGTATTGGGCGCTGGCTTGGAGACTGCTATTCATGTCGAAATCTTTTTGCAAGTAGATGGCTCGGATGAAGCATGCCCCAAGTCTGAGACGGGTAGCTCACAGTAATAAGACGAATGAATGATTGTTGACTCCCGATCTCAGTCACTAGTCACGCCAATCGACTGTGTTTCTTGCGATTTTCGCCGGGGCTCGACTCAGCTGATTTATCCAACCACCCCGTCGTGAATCATTCTCTAGATGCCACGGCCGACATCGGCAATAGTCCGACCTCTTTCAAATGGCAGAAATGGCAATTTTCGAAAATGAATTGCCATGTACAATCTGCAATTGCTACGGCCGCAACAATATAGTTCCGGCCACAGCACGCTGTCACAGACTCACCACAACACGTCAATGGAAGCGTTTTACATCATCGCCACCACAACAACGGCATTACCAATGGCCCATTTGGGTCCTTGTCCTTCGATATGAGTGCGCCTGATCTCTCACAGCACTTTTCAACACATTAGGAAGCTTTGCAGGCTCTCCAGTGTTCTCAAAAGCTTCCAGGGGTTCATCGTCGTTACTAACGGATACAACTATTCAAGGCAGACAGGCGCTCGAATTGCCACAAAATTGCAGTGCCGATCAAGCGGAGAATACCACAAGTACAGGTACAATCGCGACATCTATAAAATATCTACCTACAAGTCAAACTGCCCTTTCCGAGCCGCAATCCAGTATAGTCACGATCCTTCAACATTTACAGTCAGGATTACCAACCCAAACCACTCTTGCGAGAAGCTAGTTACCAGATATCGCCGATTTGAGCGAAGTCCGCTTATCAGGTCAACTGCGAACTCGGGTACGTCGCGAGCCCGACCGCGATACTATACAACGACGCCGAGCCCCCAGGAAAAAGGCCACCACAGCCTCTTAACCAACAGCTTCTGCAGGTAGGATCCGTGGCATTGAGCAAAGAGTTGGGGATCGAAACGATGAGCTTGCTCAGAAGCAGCAGCGCAGCATGGAAACAGTGCCGTCAACGCCGTCTATAACATCGCCAGGCAGAGGCAGCGGAGACTCGGGGGCTTCAGCAACAGCATCACAATCTTCAGGGCAATCACCACCAGCTGCAACAAATGCTCCAAATCCAAGACTCGAACAGCTTATGGAACAGCTTTTGGGGCAGACAGCCGCCCTCACAGCCGCAGCTCAACAAGTATCGGCGCCGGGCGGCGGCGGCAACGGTGGCAACCGCCGCTGCAGCATTAAATCCACAACATGATCAATACGCAGCCCAACAGCCAGTTTGGACATCACAGCAGCCTCAAATTGCTCACTTTAGCTTGCATCCGCCTGCGAGGGCACAGGGAACCCTGAATGCGTACAACTTTAATAGTCCCTCTAGTAATCAGCCCCTAGCAAGCAGTCAATTTCCTCAACAGCCCCAGGCTTCTACTTATCGGGATCCGGAACAACCCTGACAGAAATAGACGTCTTTAAACTCTCATAAAAGCACCGAGAGTTGGATATCACGAAGTGTTGAATTTCGCCAGCTGCGCGTTTCTGGTTGGACTGGGCCTGCATTTTCCAGCCACGACAGGACGTCTCTTGTCCCTCACCTTCAGCACGACCCGAGACCACGAGGCATTCTACACCCCCATAAAATCCATTGAAGGCTCGTGAAATGTAAAGTCGCTAAAGTCTGTAAAGAAAAACTCGTTGGGCATACCCGTGGCGCCCATTTCAAAGAGCGGCCCTGGGGGTTCTTGCGCCGCAACATCCCCTGCAGAGGCCGATGCTGTCATGCCGGCATCTTTGCCACGCTGACGAGGCCAATCGGCGCCGCTGTCAGCCAAGCTCTCCTTTCCGTATTGGGCTGCGAACTCAAAGAGTCGTTTTTGAAGGCCATTGGCGACCCGACGAAGCGGGTGTGCAGAATTGAGACGAATGTTGGTCAATGCTGAGACGACAGCGTTCAACATGCGGTAGTCTTGCTCGACATTGATTTCAAGCTGATCGCGGTGTTTGATGCATAGTTCGAGGAGCAAATGGCCTGCAAATGATATCATGATGTGAATGTAGCTGGGTACCCTCCAGAGATTGCTGAGAAGTCCGTCGGCGTCCAGGATCATCCGGAAGATGGCCACGGCCGCGTCATATGCCATTCGAGCGGCCTCGAGTAGTGCGTCTGAGATCATTCTTCCTTGCAAGCCCCGGAACACATGGTGTCCGAGGTATAGCTTGCCAAAAAGGTAATGGAGCTGATATGCCAATGGCGGGAATTTTCCCATTTCAGGGCTCGCATCTAGACATGCTCAAGTCAGCACTTCTCATGTACCGCGTGGCCGTGGCCATGTACAACTCACGGAATTTTGGACGGAATTCGTCAATCCACGCATCCAGCTCAGCAGAGAACTTGAGAAACTCGGCGGCTCGAGATTCCGGAACAGGAGTAGGGTACTCGGACCCAAAGGTCCGCTTTATCCTCGCCATGGCCAACAGTAATGAGGACTGCGCAACAAGACGCTGGTCATGGTTGGTGCATGCTTCGCTTTCCATGTATTCCCTTCTTCTTTCGAGCACGTCTAGATGCAGCGGAAGAAGACTTTCACGGTTGTTGAGGATGGCTTGGTGCTGGTCGCTCATGAACATGCCATACCATAATCGGACACAGTCGCGGGACTGGTCCTGGTCGATATTGCCGTGATTGGGGCTTGGAAAAGTGTTTGACAACCCACTGATGGCCTTGAAGATGTGCCGATGGAGCCTCACATCGCCAGCACGCCTCACAGCGTCACAGAGGAGAATCCTTGACGCGCCGGGGAGCCAAAACGAACCAATCAGCAAGGCACGAATATGCTCGACATCCTGCCGCTCGAATAGAGTGGTGGCTATGACATGTCTGTATTCGCGATAGCAAGTCTCGAATAAATGGCCATAGTCTACTAGGTGAAGAGAAGAGACTGTGCAGATGGCTGCAATCAATGCCGGAGACCCGTCTCTGACACTATGGGTTGTACTGTGCGTTTTGGCGAATCCGTACAGGATAGGATCCATTTCAACAAAGTAGTGGTTGACCAGCACCTCGGCATCCTCAATTGTTATCAGCCCCTTGCTAACAATATCAGGTTTCTTGTACGAGCGTGAAGCCGAGGCAGCGGCAGGACCCTGGGCACTAGGTTCAGATTCGGGCTTGGTAAGATAGGCATCGATGGGGGCAGGGACAGCGGATGGAGAGTTGTGCTGTGAGGCTCATATAGTCCATCTTCACCGTCATCTAAATCACCATCTTGGACTCCTGGCCCAGTGCTAATACTACTGAGAGCCGCCGACTCTAGGGGCTTTGGCAGCTCTAGTCCGAGCTGCTGGCACACAGTCTCAAGCGTCGCATGAACTTTGCTCAAATCTCTTCCCAAAACGGCAAGTTGTCTGTACGGATTAGCTTCATGACATGATGAGAGGCGGAAGAAGAAAGGGCGTAGGATACCTTTGGTCAAGAATAGAGTTGCGCAGCCCCGTGTTGATGACGCATTCTATGTTGCGCCTTTTGCATCGTTCGCACGGCGGACGCTCCGTTAGAAGCTCGCATTTGATCTGAATCAGTGGACAGAGTTATGCGTCAGTTCCATGGTAATTGCCAACAGAGGAGACATTGGTGCGGCCACACTTTTTGCTTGCGACAAGCAGCGCAAGATGTTATGCGCCGCCTTGCCAAGGATGTGTGAGACAGAGCTTGGGAGCTCGACACAAGGCGTGGATTCTTGAGCGCGTTCTCGGAGGCATCGCCAGGAGCCTCAGGCGCCTCACGGTCCACCGCTTGGGCTGTGGAAATGGAGGCAATGGACCTTTTCGACATTGTGTGTCACGCCAGAGCAGTGGCTTGATGCTCAGGCCAGCAGTTACCAACATGCGATGACGTTGACAAAGCCGAGGCAATGAATGTGCTTGGGCGTCTCTTGCGCACAGCATCGACGCTAGGCAGTAATCGGGATTCTAGCGCTGCGAAAGTGCCGACATGAGCTACGATGGAACGGCAAGCATAACGGCAGTCTCGGATATGCTGACATGTTCAATGTTAGCTACCGAATCACTCCATGAAGCCACCAGACACCTTTCGGTTTGAATTTGCAGCCCACCAGACAATTTTGTGGGTGGCGTTGACTTACTAATAGTTAATTGGCGGTTACTTCGTTTATTCTAATGCGACGATAAAAGTTACGATAATAAGCGCGATTATCGTATTTTATTATATTATTTTATGTTTATATTCATGCTTTATTTTTAAATAAAATAAATTTAATAATATTTAAAATTAGATATAATTCTAATAAAAAATTAACTTTTTATAGTAGAAAAAGATTTACTTATAAACTTATTAAAGAAAAAAATAAAATAACAGGCTAGATAAAGGTGTTACGAACGTCACTGCACGAGACGCGGGAAGCTGGGCCGCACTAGTAAGGGTAGGTATAGCCGCTAACTAATAAGAATATTAGGTTACGTAATAGCTTATTAGATTATATAAATAATCTAATAAGACGGGATTATTAGGATTATTAGGTAATTTAAATAATTTAGAATTATAATAGAGAGATAAATAAGTACTTAAGAAGAGGGTTGTAACGGTGGCTTAGGTTCTAAGGCATAGTAGGTCTATTTCTTAGGAAGTAAGTTAGGTTAAATGCTATAGAGTAGCTTTTAAGTAGTATTATAATAAGGCCGTTAAGAGTATAACTCTTAATAGTAAAACTATTGCTTAAATTAATTAATAGAGAATTAAATTAT